CATGGTCCTGCCAGAACCGCTGACAGCTCCCGTACGACTCCCATCTCAGGCGTTCATCTCCACCTACCTCTAGGCAGGTCAAGTATAAATAGGGGTGCCCCCCCTCTAGGTAAAGGGGTCACAATCTGCATCATATAACTATTGCCTTAATTACTCCACCTCGGGTTCTCTCACCTAGGGTCCTCTGACGAGCTCCTATCTTCCAGCATAGATTGGATATCTACCTTTGGTTTCTACCGTACTCGGAAACCACCCCACCTCGGCTTACACACTTCGGCCTCGGCAACATCCCATCCGAGCCCTCAAAGCCTTCGACCTACCTTCAAAACTCAAGGACGAAATTACCTTATTGTCCTCGGCCATTCCAAGAAGCAACACTTTTCAAGTCATTAATAGTATTTAATTGATAGCATATAATATTCTGATTTACAGTATTGTCAGAATTTATTAGTTCATTTATTAATSGGTAAGATATAATATTTCTGATCATTTTAATTTAATATATTAATGGTGTTTAATATTTGGACTTGAACTTGTTATGTTCTTGAGTATTGTTCTATAGTGCAGATTTGGAGTAGGTTCATACCATTTACTCAATGTGTTAGCTCAGGAATGATCATAACTCTAATTTCTACTTATTTTACATGAAAAAAAGTGGATGGCCATTCTTCCTCATCTCGTATGTACAAAGTACACCTAAATAATTAATATGGTTTCTCGTGGATTGGACAATTTTTTTGATTGTGATTGTACCCGTAGAAGAGGGTTGGGAAAGTTAAGCATTTATGAGGGCTTTACCTCCATGTACATTTGCATGTGATATTTCCTAATTCAAAATTTCAAACACCTCCATCTAAACACTAATATCCGCTCATGTATTGACATTAATTTCAAATTAGCACCTACTTTAATTATAATTAAAGTAGAGTTAATATTTATGAGGTGGATTGAACAGTAAAAACCTCTAGTTTTAAATAATAATAATAATTTTAGTTTTAATTTTTTATGAAACCTATATAACAAAGATGAGTAAACAAAGCATGCTGTATTGGTGGATTTATTGCCTCCGACCTAACTTTAGATCTTCTTACTAGTAGTCATATTAATGTTTTCAACTTGCAATTGATCAACACAATTGAATTGAATTGTCAAGTGTAAGGAGAAGGGAAGAGTAGCAAGCTATTGGGGGAACCACTATTCTTTCATATGGAACTTAGGTGATTGACCCGGTGAGCCATGCATTCTTAGAGGAGAGAACTGAATCAAGGCGAGCAAGATTTGCAATCTCAAGAACAGGGGCATCACAGTAAGTTGGAGACGATAGAGCCCATCAAGTATGGTGATGTGTTTCTTGTCTCCAGCGAACTTGCAGGCAAGTCCATAGAACCACAAGATGCTTTCATGACGCAGACCACGGTGCATGGATAAGCCTGAAAATAAATTAGAAAAGAGTAATTAATTTAGGTATTTAGAAAACTTTAAATAGTCAAATAAACTGACTGAACACTAATGGAGGGGGGTCTTTGCCTAATAGACGAAGYGTAGGGAGTGTTTGTCATAAAAAAGTRTAAGGGTCTTTGTCACAGACCTCATAATACGGGGGGATCCTTGTAATTTACGCAACAAAAAAACCTTATAGGGATCAATAAGAGAGAACAAGAGTTAGTATCTTAAATATGAGACTTAATGATACAAAATAAAATGAATTGAATACAATATATCAAAATTATAATTTTGCCCTCACAATATAATATACATATATGCATASAGAGAGAGAGAAAGCAACTATAGAAAAAATGATATTTTGTGAAGATGAGGTGTAGAAGACCTGGGGAGCTATTCCAAAAACGTGGATGTGCATTGGATATTATGATGATGATTTCAGTGCTTTTATCAATACCCCCATATGTAATGAAATTAAGTAGTTGGAGCATGTTATTTTGGTGGAATTATTCCCTCTCAAAACATATGACCTAGCTTCAAATCTTCTTGCGGTTTACATCATTGTTTTTCAATTTATAGTTGAAGTAGACAACTAGATTGATTTACCTCATTCATTAACAACCAATGACCTTATTATTGGTTGAATTGCTAACCTCGGCTATTTAACCAATGAATGGGTTATGTATAAGACAGTTTTTTTTTTTTTTTTGCCTTCTAACAATTTCCATCATAAATAACAATAATTCTCACTTTTCACATCTATTTTTGTTTAATATGATAAGTATATATTATCAAAGACATGCTTAAGTTTTCTATAATTTTGATAATATTTTATATTTATATTTTTATTATTTAATTTCTGACATCACAAGTTGACACAGTTAGTGGGGTCATAGGTTGGGCATTATTTCTCTTTTTTCCTAAATTTTTGTTTCATTTTCATCATTAGTTAAATCTATTTATCGCATTTAGTGTTCTTGAAGCAAGGTTTAGTGTTCTTGAAGCATTCTCATGCAGCCATAGATCGGCCGACTGCATGAAATAAGAAGGGGTTGATCAATCTACTTTTGATTGCCCGGTTCTTGGATTTTTTTGGTGAGATCGAGTCATCAGGAAGGTGATATTCGACTTGGCATCAAATTCATGAGGAACTAGAGTATGGGGAAGAGTTCTATAAAAGTTAGGCTCTTTGTGCTTGATATGATCTTGGGCGCACAGGTATCATTTGATTTCTTTTATTATTCTGTAGAGGGCGATTAGCTTTCTGGACCTTTCTAGGCCTTTTGGAGTGGTCGTTTCAGTCTTCTCTATGTTGGGAGACGATGGGAGGAGAGAGATTTATCTCCGATTGGGGTTTTTTCCTATAGCTGTACACTTGATTAATCGTGTTCCTTTACGTATTTTGGGGTTTAAGGTGCCATTCAACCTTCTTTTTCCAGATGTAGAGATGTTTCACATTCCTCTAAGGGTTTTCGATTATGTGCTTTGTTCACATTCTTGGCCCCCATCGCAAGAAATTGGATCCTAAGGTCAAAAATGTTTTTTCCTTGGGTATGCTCAGAACCAAAAGGGTATTGTTGTTATGACCTTGTGTCGATGAGCAGATTTGTCACTATGGATGTTACTTTTTTTTAATCTACCTTCTACTTCTCAATTGGTTCTCCTCAGGGGGAGAGTTTTAGGGAGGAGAACTTACAGTTTGTTCCTTTTCCTGTTTCCTTTGTGCCTCCATCAACATCCCCATTAGTAGCACCTCCATCAGTTTCTTTACTTGAGTAGCGCCGACAGATGATGGTTGACTCCATACATCAACAACCCACACCACTCTCCATTAGTCCTTCTAAAACTCCAAAATCCGYAGATGCAGTTCCAAGTATTCCCGTTGAGCCTGAGCCTGTCATTTCTTTAAATGATAATGTTCCTGCACCAAACACTATTGTTTCAGTTGATCCCACTAACCTTGATCTTCCCATTGCTCTTCGCAAAGGGAAAATAAAATGTACAACCCATTGCATTTCACACCATCTTTCCTATATTGCYTTATCACCCTCCTATCGAGCTTTTCTTTCTTCCCTGGATTCTATATCTATACCCATGAATGTTATTGAGGCTCTTTCCAAACCTGAATGGAAAATAGCCATGCAAAAAGAAATGGAAGCCTTGGTTAAGAACCAAACTTGGGAAATAGTTGATCTTCCCCCAGACAAGGAAATAGTCGGATGTAGATGGGTGTTCACCGTGAAGTATATGCTTGATGGCAGGATAGAGAGGTATAAGGCAAGGTTGATAGAAAAAGGGTATACTCAAACATATGGCATTGATTATCTAGAAACTTTTGCACCAGCAACTAAGATGAGTTCAGTTCATATTCTATTATTTCTAGCAGCAATCAACTCATGCCCTCTGTTTCAGTTTGAWGTTAAAAATGTATTTCCTCAATGGTGATTTGCAGGCGGAGGTATATATAGACATTCCAACAGGCTTTTATGAAAATAATGGTAGAGGAAAGGTGTGTAAACTCAGAAAATCATTGTATGGCTTGAAACAATCACCTAGTGTCAGCACCTGATTTTTGCTTGGTCCGTAGCCTAAGCCTCTAATTCACCCCAAAAACTCGATCAGACCCTTCCGACCTCTCCGAAACATCCAAAAACCTAGAAAAATCAAAATTTACCCCGTTAAACCAGCCCGATACCTATCCGATGACCCCGATTGACTCTCACTTACACCTCAACCATTAGATCAGGCACAACCATCAGACCGAAGACATCCCAAAACACATACTCATAAAATTTGAACTAAAAATTCCTTCGTTCACCCGCTCATCAAACAAAGATTCCATTTCGACCATTATTGTACCCATAACCCATATCCACTTGATTTGAACACATCTAAACCAATCAAACTTTTCCAATCACCCTAGAATACCAAAGGACCTCTACATATGAAATTCCATCCMAAAATACTTTCATTTACCCTCGATCACACAAAGATTCCATTTTGAGGCTCTAGATTGACCAGATTCTAAATCTGCTCGATCCAGGCCCAATTGGCTCAATCTGATTTTACTAATCATATCAGAATACCCAAAAACCCCACCCGGAGAAATTTCACCCAAAACTGCCTTTATTTTCCTCTTCATCTCACAAAGATTCAATTTCGAGCCCCYAGATTAACCAAATCGAACCCTTTCAAAATCTGCCTAATCCGGGCTTAGTTGAGCCAATGTGACCCCACCAATCGATACAGAGTGTCCAGAAACCCCACCCCATGAAATTTCATTCAAAACTACCCCCTTTTGCCTCTTCATTCAAAAAGATTCCGTTTCCACCAATCTTACTAGTCCACATGCATCGAAACCCTCTTTGGGGGCAGACCAATCTCAACCCTTTAATTTCTAACCCAGAATCTCAGTCATCCATCCCGAATCCCGGTTTGACCTCCCTTAGACCGGTTTTGACCAACGTTTTCCTAAATTATACTTTCCCTTAATGCTTATAGAATTACATAAATACCCCCTGGCGCCATTTAAAAGAGACCGACTCCATCATTTTCGCCTTAAGGCAGAGAAAGGKGATGAGAGGAATGTTTATCATCTTCAACCTTCGAACCCAAAGCAGAGGGGCAGCGACTAGAGATTCGTCTTCCTCCGATTCCTTCTTCCCTCTTATTCTCCGATCCTTCTCCTTTGCTTTCCACCTCCCTCACTATCTTCTCTCTCGCCGGTGAGCTGCTGTTCACCTTCTCCTCAGTCGAAAATAGGGGACTTGCAGCGGCGATTTTCTCCCCTCCATTTCCACTCGAATCCACTAAAAACCCTACCGTTTGGTCACCAGTTAGCCCCTTCGTCCCACGTCGCTTTTCTATCATTTGGTCACCAGTTAGCCCCCTCCCTTTAGTTTCATCCTCACCGCTGGCGGAGCAGAGCCTGCGGTAGCATCAACGGTAAGCTTAAACGTGAATCACCGGAGGCATCGTCTTTACATCGTTCTCCCTATCGCAATCAGCGTTTTCTGTAACCGACTGAAAGCAAATCCATCGAAACGAGCTGAGATTCCCCCGCAGCAGCGATTGATTCCAGGCCGACATATAGTAAATCTCGTCATTCTCTCCCACAGTAGTTTCTCCTTTAGTTCTTTTTTTTCGTCATTGTCTTTGTTTGATATTTGAATCGATTGCGAGTTKGGAGGAGTGAGGTTCGGCGGAGCTAGTAATCGGCTCCGTTGAACCAGCTCCCATAGGTTTCAGCTCTAGTTATGGGTTTTTTTTTTTTCGTTTTTTGATTTATTGCTATTTTTTTATCACTGATTTATTTTGATGATAATTTCTTTCATGGTGGAACTATGGTTTGAAAAGAAGCAGAGAGAGTCAACTCGATGCAGAACGGGTTCAAATCTGTTGCTGCTCTGCTTCTCTGTGAAGTAGATGAACACCGTCACCAAGTTGAACTGTTCATCAGACTTGAACACTGTCACCAGATTGAACTGTTCATCTTCTTCATAGAGAAGCAGAGCGACGACAGATCTGTTCACCCTCACCAAGTTGGAGCGGAAGTTGGACCATCGAATCGACTCTCTTGAGCTTGGAGCGTTTGGAGTCGTTGGTGCTGAACACTGTTCCCGCATTGTTCACCGCCACTATTCGTAGACCTTGGCTTTCCACTCTCCAACGGTCTTCGTTCTCTCTTGCCTTCTCCAGTTTGTTCTCCCTACCAGCTAGCCTTGGTAATGTCCAAGGCGCTAAACACTCATCTACGGACAGAGCCCATACCCAATAGGAGGAAAGAAGTTGTCTTTGTTTCGGTGGTCGCCAATCCTTGGGAGGAATTGCAGGTGCAAAGGAACTCGAAGGTGGAGGGTAAGAGCGTTTGGACTCCTGCTTCATGCCTGGTGTTTGGAAACGCTCAGGGAGTTGGGAAATGCCACTACGGGTTTCGTCGGAGTAGCAGAGGAGAACCTCTACTGGAGGGACCTCGAGGCCGTGAAGCTACTGATCTGGGCGGGAGCACCGCATGAGATACTTAAGGCTCTAACAATGAAAGTTCTCGGGGAAACCTTCGTTGTTATCTTCATGGTAGAAGGTCTGGAGTCGCTGGTCTTGAGACATTCTTTAGGGCTCCGTTGGATTGAAGTGGAAGAAGAGTTTAAAGGTTAAGGGCAGCTAAAGGKGGGCGGCGACGGTTCTGGTATTGGGGCTCAAGAGGGGAGAGAAAGACCTCAGGTGGCTGAAAGAGTAAAGGGAAGATCCCATTGGCGTTGGAGGATGAGACGCCACCGATCTGGTTCGGGTGTTTCCAGGTGCTCTTCCCTAGCCGAGAATGAAGATGGGTCATTGCTGTTGTTGGAATTGAGGGAGGTGTCAGGGGATCGATGATATCGACTCAAATGCTAATGCGTTCAAACGGGGAATTGAAGTTTGGGCCGTCGCTATCGTCTGCTCATCCCAACCATACACGAAGGTGGAAACAAGGGATCGATGATGTGCTAGGGAAGCTGGAGTATTGAAATCGCCTGGTATAAGTAACAATAACAGAGGAACAATGAAAATAGAGGGGTTAATGAGGTAAAATGGACGAGAGAAAGCAGATCGCCGTTGCTGTGAGTTGCGGCAGCGGTGACAAAAACACAGAGAGCGAACGGGGGAAATGAAGAATATGATATGATCCATCTATATTTGTCTCTAGCGTCGCCTGTACAATTTATGGTATTCAATGGTGGGGTGATTCAGACAACCTGCTGCTCAATGGTGGATTTGAAGTGGGACCAGCTTTCCCCAATGATTCCACTGAGGGGATTCTACTTGATGCAGAACCAAGTCACACTCTATCAGCATTACAACAATGGTTTGTGATAGGGACAGTGAAATACATAGACTCCAAAAACTACCAAGTTCCACAAGGCAAAGCTGTAGTTGAGCTTAGTTTTGGAAGCTTCAGCTAGGATACAAACAACAACAGAGCTCAATAAGGGTACGACCTATAACTTGGAATTTGTACTTGGAGATGCTTGTGTGGGAGATTTCATTGTGAGGGCACAAGCAGGATCTACGTCAATGAACTTCACGATGCAGACCAATGGAACCGGCTTGGCCCAAAGCTTCCTCATGACTTTCAAGGCAGATTCAGCTCTAACA